AAATAAAATAATATTTAAAATAAAAATCTCATTTATTTTAATATTTAAAATAAAAATCTCATTTTTAAGCCTATTTTAAATATTTAAAATAATTAAAAATTCATAAAAATCACAAAAATAATAAAATTCATGAAAATTTTTTAAATTGTTTTCTAAGCACTTAGAAATAATTGGGATATTTTTCTTGATTTTCTAAACAAAGATATTGAATTTTGAAGCTTCAAATAATTTTTAAAGGCTAAAAAATAGATTTCCACTAAAATAATTCCAATAAATCAAAGAAAAATCAGAAAAAGATAAAATTTGCTTCCCTGGGTTATCTGGACTTAGGGAGATTTTTCAAAAATAAAAAACTTAATTTTCCCCATTTAAAATATTTAATATTTAATAAATACAACAAAACTTAAAATAATTCTAATAATTCAAATAAAATTCAACAAATCATGAAATTTGGTCGAAAGGCTTATCTTGTCTAGTTTTACCTCTAGTAAAAATTTCAAGAGATTAGAATTCACCTTGGTCAAGTTAGGAATTTTCTTTGAAAAATTCTATTTTTGCATTAAAAATAATTATATAAATAAAATAAATTTTAAAAAATCATACTTTCTCCTCTAATGTCTCAATTGACCCATGGGTAAGGTATGAAAAAAATTCCAAAGTCATTTGAATTAAATTTGATGAATTATGAAGTGATAGAGCCTTAGGGGCAAATGTGTAATTTTGGAAATTTAGCCTTAATTAACATTATTTAGATTTTGGAAATTTAGCCTTAATTAACATTTAGGTCTAATTTCAGAAAGGGAAATGGGAAATTTTTTATTCTAATTAACATATTTTGATGTTTGAAATACAATGGATTAATTGGTAGAAATCGACCCAACTTGTCTTAATTAAAAAAAGATAAATTTGCAATTTCCCTAAAATCACATAAGTTGGGAGTCCAATCAATTAAATGATCCTAGAATTAAATGATCCTAGACTTAGGATTAAATGATCCTAGACTTAGGAGGTATGATTTTAGGTGTCAATAACTCACTAATTTAATACCCCTATTTGATGAACACAAAAGAAAACAAAAACTTGAATCATCATCATTATTTATAAGTCAAATTTCATTTACAATGACTAAGAAACTCACCAAAAAAATCTTAAAGGGTTTAGTATTGACTTAGACTAAATCAAGTTTCATTTAAACAAGGATTAGAAAAGTAAACATCATTGAAAATTGAAACATCTTTTAAACATCACAAGCCCAAGTCAAAATTTGGCTAAGTCTCTTAAACTTGCCTCTTTAAGGATCTTCACCCACATAATTCTTAAATTGAATTACAAGTGATAAATTGAATCACAATATTGAATCACAATTGATAATTACCCTATTCTTAGGGATAATTAAGACATCAATGTTCATTGAGCATTAGGGTGTTCATATGATGAATTATTAAGTAACATAATAAATTTAAAAGAACTCGGGATTCTCCACCAGGCAACAAGAGAGTAGCATGGACCTGCTTCTTTCTCTAGATCTGTTGGATATCTCGGAGATATATTAAACTTAATATGTTTTGCTTAAATCATCCTTAATTAACTCATAAGGACCCACCAAGATATGACATAGGGTTAGAAAAAATACTAAAACCTTACCATTTGCCTCTATATAAATTGCCCTGATATGCACTTTAAGTTTCAGGTGGTGGAACGAGAAGACTCGTCAGATACGCTTTTTATAATTTTTAGCGTTGTCTTTCTTGTACTTTTATGCTATACTTTTATGTTTACACAAATTTGCATGCTAAACAATGATATCACCCTACATGAAAACTAAAACTATCAGGATAGCCACAAAATCAAAATCAAAATCAAAATTAAAACTAAAATCAACCAAGATAAAACTCACCGCTAAAACATTTAAAATATAAAACAATTTAAAATTTAATCACAAACAACACACAAAACTACAATTACAACAAAGGAACTCATTAAATTGAGTTTAATAAGTTCATTTGGACTAAGTGAATCCAATAGAAAATAGTGGTGCCAGAACGAGGGAACCGTAGGATCCTAACTGGTGTCGCTCTAATCAACTTTAACATGCCCCCATAAAATTTAAAGGACTTCAAACCATAAGGCCACCTGATTTGACATTATAACTTGACACACTAAAGAACCCAAACTCGTCGCGACAAGGAGCTTGGAGCTAGCATGGTGGGCAGCACGGTCATCTTCAACAGCAAAACCTGACTTCCCCAACTAAACCAATCTTCCTTCCTTAGACTTAAACAACAAAGACATAGAACATCGAGGTTTCTTGCTTATGCAACGTAAATCATCACCTTATCTTTAGGCCTTTCCATAATCCTGCTATAAAATATAAGCCCTAACTCGTCTTAGGATTCTGAGGTTTTCGTTTGTCACGACCTAAACTCTCACATCTTCCAAGTTATTTGTGTGATCGTCTCACATGAATGTAAGCCCTAACAAATAAAATTGACAGGATGAAACACTCCACTCAAATGATTTTACTCAAATGATTTTTCATCTAAATTTAAGCCAAACATTAGGATAGCTTGGGAAGTCACCGAAGTTATTTCTCTGGATCTACGGCATTCCCTAATTCTTCCTCCTTTGAATCCCAAAAATAAAATGTTCCAAATTTGAACTAATTCCCTTTCACACCTCTATGTCTGATCTCAATGAAGAGTCCTACCCTTTGAAATTTCTTGAAAATAATATTTCCTAATTTTTATCGAGAGTCTTCTTAGATGACTTTGATCATTTAAGATGTAATTAACTATAGGGGCTTGCCCTTATAGGAAGCAAGTTCGAACCCATTTTAATATAAACCCTATTTAATCCTTTATATTAAATAGGGGAACTTGTAGGCAAATACAAAGGTTTCAAAGACCAGACATATGTCATACTTTTTTTTAGTTTATTTGATCGAGTCTCATCCTCAAGTCTTGTGTTTATTCTTCGGGATAGATATAGGGTTTGAGGTATAGTGCTCTTTTATTTAAAACTATGAAAAATATGGGGTCAGTTTGATTTCATACTTTTCTAAATCTTAACGTCCTTCCGAAGCGGGCGACGGGATTTCGGTTTGGATTTCGGTTTCGGTGCCCGCCATCTTCTTACGGGCAACTCCTCCAACCAAAATAGCGCCGACAAATCCTTTAAAACTTTCTGTACTTTCTGATGAAGAGAAATGTACGGGGAGTGTTAGAAAGAGAGAGGACCCATTATCTGAATTATGCTCTGTTTAACCATCATTCATTAAGAGAGTTACTAACCAATATAATTTATGATAATTTAATAAATAAATTTATTTTATTATTAAAATTAATGACATAAGTTAGTAATATCAATTCATTTTAGGGTTACATGAGTTACAAAATAAATATCATAAGTATCAGAAGTTATTAAATAAATAACATAAGTTTTCATGAGTTGTAAAAATGAATAACTTAAGTTATCATTTATTATGACATAAATCATGAGTTAAGAAAATAAATAACTTAAGTTATCATGAGTTATAAAAATAAATAACTTAATTTATTATTTATTATGACATAAATTATGAGTTAAGAAAAAAAAATAACTCAAGTTAGTAATATATATTAAAATCAATGCAATAAGTTAATAATATCTATTCATTTTAGGGGTTACATGAGTTACAAAATAAATATCATAAGTATCATAAGTTATTAAATAAATAATATAAGTTTTCATGAGTTATAAAAATGAATAACTTATCATTTATTTTGACATAAATTATGAGTTAAGAAAATAAATAACTTAAGCTATCATGAGTTATAAAAATAAAAAAAACTTAAATTATCATTTATTATGTCATAAATTATGAGTTAAGAAAAGAAATAATTTAAGTTATCATGAGTTATAAAAATAAATAATTTAAGTTATCATTTATTGTAACATAAGTTATGAGTTAAGAAAATAAATAACTTATGTTATCATGAGTTATAAAATAAATGATATAAGTTATTAAAATAAATCCGATAAGTTATTAAAATAAATGTACAAATAAAAATTTATCAGTTTGCTCTTGCAACCTTAATTATCAGCTCAAAATCAAGTGTTAATAATCTAAATTTTTAAAGCTTTTAAGTAAATTTAAGAACAACCAAATAAAATAAATTCATTGTTCACAAACAACTCGTGTTAGGCTCTGTAAGTAGCACGTGTTCAATTCGTTCGTTAAGCAAGCAAGTCATACACGAACAATTTTCTTGAGCTCGATTTATAAACAAACCAAGCATGAACTAAAGTTTGTTTATAACTCAAATTAATCAATTAGAAATTATAAATTAATTAAATTATAAATTAGTATCATTAGTAAATATTTATATATTAAAATTTTATGTTGTATTTTAAAGAATATTAAATCTTATTATATTTTAAATACTTATAGCTAGGATTGTAAATAAAAAATAAATTTTTTATATTGAATATGAAAATATTTAAAAAGTAGGTGGTATATATGTAAATACATTAAAAATAAATGCATAATTTTTGGCTCTTGATAAAGCTGTATTATAAGATAAAAAAAATTTAAAATACTACTAGAATTAGTCCCACATGATAAAATTGAAATAAAACCTCAAACTACTCTTTTTAAAAGAAAATAAGAAAGCTCATGCATTCTCAAAATCAGTCTATTGACATCAATGCAACACATAGTCGTTCAAATTTATTTTAATTTTATTTTCACTTAAGAGATCGTTAAAACCACTTTTATTTTTTATTTTTATTTTATTTGTTTATGTTTAAATTTGAAATAAAATATATTAAGCACCTAAGTAATGCTTTAAATTTTTCTAAAAATAACTTAATTCACGTTTTAAATAAAAATTAAACTGAAAAACAATACACCAAACAAACATTATTTTAAAAACCAAAAAAAAAAAAAAAAAAAAATGTTGAACAAGTCTAACCCCGGATAAGTCTTCTTCCATTTCCGGCACCAGTATAATAAGCCCTATATGAGGGCCAGGGGTCAGCAATACGAGAGACAGAGAAAGGGGGCGATTGAGATCGTGAGGAGTAGAAACGAAGCTTCTTTTTTGTGGCGGACTGAGCCGATCCCGATTCCCAATCCAATCGTACAAGGTCTTGGTTTAGGGTTCCAGAGGAGGTTCTTCGCATCCATAAGAATACCAAATCGGAATCCCTCGCTCCTTTGCTCCATCCCGCTTTCTCCTACTCTCGCTGCTTATCGTTATTCTACTTGCTATGGATCTGTTTCCCTCCACTTATCCGCTTATTGACTTGCGAAAAGGTAAGGGGATCTCATCCTCAGTTGTTCCGTATTTGCTTAGATCTGTTTTTTTGTTGTCCTTCTGTTTTCTGACTAGATCTGTTTCGAATTTTTTCCAACGTCAGCTCTAGTTTTTGGACTCGTATTTTTTATTATGCTTTTTGATTCTCGAGAAGAAGGTAGGTATTAGGAAATCTGGATCGGGACTGTATGGGTTTTGAATATTGCCATTTGCACAGCTTGCTGTTTCCGTGTTTGGAGGTCTGGTGTAAAATGCAGCTGATGATCGGGTAATTTAATTAGAATTTTATAGGGGGGGATTATGGGATTGATGTGTATATTAATCCAACTGCTGGTATTTTGGATTGGTTTTGGGGTTTTGTTGTAGATCTTGTAGCATTGCTTAACTCTCTCATGTTTGACTGTCGAGATGATCCCGTGGTGCTTGCTTCATGGGAGCCTAGGAGTACAAATTCAGACCAGTATGATGCTTTTGTTTGTAAGCTCTTAAAATTTTCTTTGTTTGTTTAAATAAATGTTAAATACTCTTCTTATCTGAAGATTCTTATGCAGAATTTTTTTAACATGAAAAGATGAAAAACCCTAATTAATTGCTTGATTGGAAATCTAATAATACAATATGCTACAATTTTAGGAAAAGGTTGTGTTCGATCAATAGCATGTATGTCATCTGGTTAAATACAATGTTTTTTATGCTGCATAAGGTACAAGCAATGATAAGCTGCCCTCTATATTAAATGGACTGCAATAGATTCTGCTATTTCATCAGCTTACATTCTATCATGAGTTATTGCCCATGAAGCTTCCAAGGAGGGATTTTGAGTAACTAGGAGCACCAAGGGGACAATTCAGTGACTAAATTGGGCTTTGCTAACGATTCACTACATAGTGGATTATTTTACATTTCAGTTTTTTGAAAAGATGGCACACTCATGTTCTTGTTTTGCTTTTGCCCACTATGTGCCAAGTACAACTGAGATGAAAAGATATCTATGATTGATAGTTGGTAGATGCTGTATAGTGATTCTGTGATCCTCATGTGGAATCAATGGAGGGGAATCATGTTGAGGTGTTTATGGGGAGAAACCTCCGTTGTGCTGCTAGTGGTGCAGTGGTTTCTGCTCCATGCAGTGGAGCGATTGCCTGGCAGTGAGGCAGATTGGGCTTGCCAAACGTCAAGAAAGTAATGATATTACAGCTGATTGGATAATTGAGAAGGTTAATGGTGGTTATATTCTCAGGAACGGCATTGACATCACCTTGGGTGCTGTAAATATTTTATATCAGGGGCTTTTGATGCGATGGAGATGGTTTTGTGATAGATGGTAGAGGATTGTGACACATAGGACTTTGCAAATCATCTTGAGGTTAGGTTTATTAATGTTGTGAAAGTACTGAGAGCAATCCCTTTTATGAACACTTCACTGTTATAGGCCCTAGAGATGTCGTCAACTTTGCCGTAAGCACCTGCAGGTTTCCTTGCGAAGGCAGCCTATGCTGTTATCATACTTGACATGTCAGCCTTAGGAGCCTTGGAATCTTTGAGATGAGCAACTATGTTGATTTTGTTAATGCCGCCGAATTTTCTCTCTTGATGCAAAGTTTATTCATGTTTCTAAGCTAATAGAGGCCATGTTGAAACATTTAATTATGTTGATTAAATATATATTTTATGGGCGAACTAATTAAATAAATCCACCACAAAGGAAGTTTATTGATCTGACTTATAATCTTGAAAATTAGCCAACCTAGTTTAACACTCTGCATGTCCCAGGGACTTCGATGTTAATTTATTGTACGCTCTTGGGGCAATTGTGGAATCTAAAGCTATATGTATGACATTCGTATCATTCATCCTCCTCCCCATTGCATGACCTTTGTTGGTATAGTTTATTGCTTGTAATCACTGCCATCATTTCTTTTTCCTGTTTGATTTGATTCATTTAATGCAGTAGAAATTTAGCAATAGTTTAGTTCATACATAGCAAGCTCTTGGGTACTTGGTTTTGTAATGTTTCACTTCCGTTGCTAGTTTTAAAATTTAATGAAGCTTTAGAAGATAATTTCTGGTCTCTTCCGTTCTTTTGTAAAGCACTTTATGAGTACTCCGATTTCTCTTGGTGAATGCCCGTGATTATTGCAACGATACTGGCCATTTTTGCGGCTGTAAGTTGTCACAGAAATATCATTTTTGGGATGTTTTCCTAATTTGAACTTATATAGGATCATGTGCATCAGAAAAGCTTTACATTTACTGTGTTCTTGTGACTGCTTATATCTTACCACTAAATTACTGATTTGCAGGTTTCGGATAAATTCTTCCATGAAATTGCTCTTCTTGCGATACAATTTTAATAAAGTCTTATATATTGAATAAGGATGAGTTTACCTGCCAAAGGTCTCAATAACAAGAAGGAAGCCAAGTGGAGCATTCCAAACAAATCAACAACATTAAATCCCAATGCTGCAGAGTTTGTTCCATTTTCACTTAAATCTGCAGGTGAAAGTAACCAAGTTGATAATACTTACCGACTGGACCTTCCAGGAAGTTCTAGGAAAGGGTTCCTAGATAGGTCAGATTCTACCACTTCACATAATTCTGATGATGAGGCACATCAGTATTGGCGGCACCACCTTCCAGATGACATCACTCCTGACTTCACAGCCACTGGAAAAGATGATTTTCCTGGTCCTGAACTGTTGCCAATTGCAGGCTTGTCAATATTTGATGAAAATGACGGGTCAAGTGTACCTGAATTAGTTAGCAGGCATGCACAAATTACCAGGGGAATGACTGATGAACTGAGATATTCTGATTCAATGTTTCATCAAGATCAATCATCAGTTGCTTTCACGGCTCCTGCTAAGGATTCCTGGGACAATGAATTAATAAAAGCTACTCAGCATCTGAGCAATGGATTGGATGGATATCATTTAAATGGAAGTTCTAGTGCTGGCTTGGTTAATAATTCATATATTGATCATCTTATCATGGAAGATTCTGCCATCAACCACGTGGAGTTTCTTGCATTGCAATTCCCAGGTTTTTCTGCCGGGAGTCTAGCAGAAGTGTACTATGCAAATAATTGCGATTTGAATTTGACTATTGAGATACTTACTCAGCTTGAGGTACGTTAGCACCATTGTTTAAAGCATGTAAAGTTCAATGAGGGGTACAAAAGTAATGATTTGCAACACGAAGGTGCTTCGCATTGGTGCAAAGAAGAAAGCTTTTAGTGAAGTGTGCAACTCTTTGCTTTCACAGTGTATTCACAAAGCGATATTGAAGCGAAAGATCTTTAAGCTGATTTAGATAACTAGTTGCAATTATTGTTCATTTTAGTGGAGGATGTTTTGAAAGCTTAATCATGGTTACAGTACTTGGTAGAATCTGGTTATTACTCTCCATTGATATGGAAAACTAGTTACACATTTTTCTTTGTTGTTTACTATTTTCCATCTTACTCTAGTAACTATTGTGAATGACAAAAGTTATTGCGGCAAAAATTTCACATTTGCTAAATTCTCGAAGTTCATTCATATCGATTGTATGCACAACCCTGTAATAAAGGGTTTTTTTTTTGTTAATTTAGATAATTTACTGCAATTGTTAGTTCATTCAATGGAATGGTTTTTTTGTTTGACTAAAAATGAATTATTTATATGATAAATAGTTTTGCTAATTTCAATACATTTTAGAACTTGACTAGTCTTTCTTTATGACGTGAAAAGCAGCTCTATTCAATTTCATTTTATTCTTCTCACTATTCTTCTTAACCTAGAAATTACTGATCATGAAAGTTTTGATTTGAAGATCGTCCCTGTATCCTCTGTTATCTTAACCGTAGATTATGTGATCTAACATTTCTGTGAAATTGTCATATTTATATTTGCAATGGCAGCTCCAAATGGATGGCGGCTTCACACAAAACCAGAATTTGAAGGCCATAGCAACACCAAACCTGAATTCTCTCGACTTCCCTGCTCTTCCTGTGACAGATTCTCGGAACAGATTTGCAACAGGCAGTAGAGAAAATATCCAGGATTTATATAGGTCTTCTTCAAGCCTATTTCGAGGTCCTCCTGATTTTGCTTCTGCTGTTAGAAAACTTGCATCCCAGGATAATGGTACATGGAAACATGAGAGAAATGGTTCTGTGGATAGTTTTGGTAGCTCTGGTGTGAACAGACAAATGGTAACTAACTCATACAAAGGCAATGTTAAGTTGGCTTATGAAAATAAATTGCAAGGTCTAGGAGCTGCTCAGGCGAGTCCTATTTGGCTGGAAACTGGAGAAGCAGTTGGTAGTAATCTACTCTTCTTAATTTCTATTGATATAAATATAATTCATGATTTTATTTTTCTTGAAATTAATTGAAATTGGCAGCTAATATATATTCAACATCAAGGGAAGACGCTCGGGACTTTGCACGCCTTCGAAATGCATGTTTTCAACAGGTAGCACACAAAATTTTTGCTACATTATGAAGCTGCATCATAATTTTATTGCTCTTGTTAAACATAGTTTTTTTCTTTTGCTATGCATAAGTTAACATGACAAATTTATGGATATTGGGATGATAGATCCTTCAGAGAAGGAGGATTGGGTTGGGGGTAAATTTGGATTCTCGAGTATAGAGCAACTGTGTGAAACTTATTTTCATGCAGTTCTAAGTTTTGAGAAATAGATATAGTTGGATCTTCTATCAAGATCTGCTTTATAAGTGGTAGCCGTTTAAAATTTTAATGGCAGGAAGAATTCGTCTTGCAGTGCCTTCTGTACTTTGAATCGTAGAACATGCCATGAAAATGGTGGTGGATTGCTTTAATTTGAACATCTCAAGATGCCTCGAAAAAACTTTGCAGTGGATTAACATGGAACCTAAAAATTATCAAATATGTTTACCTATTGTTGTTAACTTTTACGCATTATGTAATGTGTTTGCATATGCTTCTTATTATAGAAACTATTTTCTATTTTAATCAATGGATAAGCATAACTATGGGTTAGTTGTTAATTGATTCTAAGTGTAATTAAAGTGGGGGTGGACGGTTTAGGGTCGGTGAAAGGTTAAAAGGAGAAAGATTGACTAGTCTAGGTTTTTTGATAGATTTTTGGATAGAATTTTATGGCTGTAAAAGGCTAGATGTTTTGGTTTTGATGGAAAAGGATGACTTCTAGATTAGAGGTTTGGGGTGCTAGTTAATTTATGGTGATGATTTAGGTTAATTGAATGTATGCTCAAGAGGTAATATTTTTTTTGTGGATTGCTTAACAGGTGGATAACATGGGTTAGGGTTTTGTTGAAGAGTTATAACTCATTTCTTGTGAAAATTGAAGTGGGTTGGGGCTTCAGCAAGGTGATGAGATGAAGGAGAAAAAGAAATAGGAGAGAAAAGATGGGCTAGGGTTCACAAACATTAACTTTGATTGACTTGTAAATGACCTCAAAAGTTTGAAGCATCAACTATTTATAGACAATTTTTTCGTTAAGAGATGAAGCCTCTTTGAAATTGATTTAATAGGTCTATAAATAGTATATGAACTGTTTAAAAAAAAGAGGCAACCCTCAAAGGAGTTAACCGAAATTCCTCTTTGAAAATTTTTCGTGTATAATTGGAGCCCCTTAAAGAATTATTCCAATTTGAAAATTATTTATACCACCTCATTTTTAAGATATTTATCAAATATCTGTTTGATTTTTTTCTTACTTATTTTCTTTTTTTTTGAATCATTGATTTCTGTTGTTTTATAGTTCCCATCTCCACTGTTATTTTGAAGGTCATGGATTTGAGCTCTATTTCTTCCACTTAGCTGCTATTTATTGAAATAAATGTTAGAATATTGTTCATTGCTATTTGTACCAAAATGTTTGTTTTCTTTTATGTTTCTTTTTTTAACATACTCTATGCCTCTCTTAAATTGATAATATATGGAGATATGTTACTATTCTTTAAAATTTCTTTTGGCTATTTGATATTGTTTCAAAATAGTTTTTTATATTTAAAATGTTTTATCCTAACCCCATGGGTCAACCCCCTTTTATTTCTTATTAATATAAAATAAAATAACCTAATATAAAAATAATTTACAATTAATTTTCGTGACAATTGACTATTTAAATTGATCTAGTGACAGGCCGCTTTTCTTGTCACACTTTAGCTCTTCATTTAAAGAACTTTGCTCTATATAGTTGAAAGTGTTATGGTGAAGTAAAGGGGCAATAATGTGTATTTATAGGTTGTGGAATATATATGCATAAACAGGTTTGTAAATGAATTTGAACCCGGCTCGAATAATACTTGATCAAGTTTGTTAAAATTAGTAAATGAATAAGTTTGAACATTTGTGAATAAACCAAACATAATCATGTTTCAAATTCCTTATTTATGTTGATAAACAAACTCATTTGATGTTCAACAAAATAACTTATTAAATGATCTATAATTATGTGATATATTATTTAAATAAAATTTGATTAACTAGAATTTATTTAATTATGTATTTAGTAGTAATAACATATAATTTAATATCAATATTAATATTAATCTAATTCAATTTCTTCTTATTTCTTTACTTCAATGTACTAGTTTGTAAAGACTTATTTATATTATTTAATGACAAGAAATATTTCTTACAAATTATGTATTAATTTATTTAATCAATGTAAAGTACTTGAATATTAATTCAAATTTTATTCGATTGCTTATTTATTTTGATTTATAAAAATATTTAGTAATAACTTTATATAAAAAGTCAATTATTAATTTAAATTTTTAGCTTGCTTTTTAACTCGCTAAAGTACTCGTCCAATTAAAATAAACAAGTCTAGTACAAAATAAGTATAATTACTAAAAAATTTAAACAATTCAAGTATGGATATTCTTGTCAAAGCTCGGCTTGAGCTTGAGCCGAACATGAACAACTTATAAAATGACCGAATCAAGTCAAATCCATGGCATACTCGACTCAACTCGGCTTGATTACAACCCTTTGCATGAATTGCTAGATATTCATAGTTACTGAGATAATTGATAATGGGACTAAATTAAAAGTGAAGCTATATCTGCTGCAAGTGGATTAGTTTCTCAATCCCATTTTTAATGAACCCATTCTATTGGAATTTTTATGTAATTAAAATAATATTATGAAATGTCAGAAGGTAGAATCATAAAGTCTTAAGACTAAGGATCTAGCTCATCATATAGTAGTTAGCAGCTTCATAGGTAGGAAATTAAATATAAGTTAAATATTATTTATTTTTATTTTATTTTCAGGTTGAATTCGTTTGAAAAATAGTTTCAAAAGTGTTGTCAAATTTTTTTTGTTAATTTGTTGTAACATACACATCTAAATAAAGACTATCTATATGAAGTACTAAGAAAATGTAGGATCATATAATAAATTATAAGCTATGTCATTTAAACCAGGAGTTAAGAATAAACCATCAGGTTTATAATGATCTTATGATGCTCTATCAAGTCAATCAAATATAGTAATTGAAGTTTAGGAATAATGTCCAATTCAAGTTGTTTGTCATATAATGATGTTGGCTTATTAAAGGACTCCCTAATGTGTGCCAAATAAGACAAACTATTGATTTGTGATCAAAACATGTGTGTCCATCCTTAAAGATTATTAGAACATTTATATCTAACTCTCAACATGAAGAGATGCAATAAATGGCTCACTAACATGAAGTCTGAAGTTTAATGAAGATTTAAGTTCATCAATATAGATAACTCAGATAGAGGGATTGCTGGTTGAGTTAGACGCATTTAATTGGAGGCTTATATTTTCTATATATTTGGGGAGAGGTTATATGTCATCTTTAGAAATTTATCAATTTCTCAATATTGTTAAATTTTTTATCAATATAATTGAATTTATTAGTAATCTTATAGGTTTTATTATTCATGATAATACTTAAATCTTTTAGTAAACACTCTATCAAAAGTGGAAGAATATTCTTAAAAAACAACAAAGACAACAAGCTTTTATTCCACTAATTGGGGTCGGTTACATGAATCATTTCTCTCCATTGTATCCTATGGAGTGTCATATTTTCATTTAATTCTAATCGCTTAAGATCACTTTTTATGCAATATGCCCAAGGCTTTTTAGGTCTACCTCTCCCTTGTTTAATATAAGTCGATTCTAAAACATCTGTTCTCCTTACCGGATCATCAGATAGTCAACGTTTAATGTGACCAAACTATCTAAGATGACTTCTCTCTAATTTTGTGTGCAACTGAAGCCACACCAACCCTTTCACGGATGGATTCGTTTCACATTTTTCCTCTAAGTGCCCAGCCACTCATCCACTTAAGTATTCTCATCTCAACAACACTTAACTTTGTTTTATGTCTCTCTGTTAAACACTAACTTTCTGCACCATAAAGCATTGTAAGTTTCACCACCATCTTATAAAATTTTCCTTTAAGTATGAGCAGTACTTTTCTATCATACAATAGACCCGATGCATTCCTCCACTTCGACCTACCAACTTGAATTTTACTCAGAACATCCCCATCAATATCACCATCACTTTGAACAAAACCCTAGCTATATAAAACGTTCACACCTTTTAATGATTTGATCATCCATAGTTACAACTCTGTCACTAGAGCTAGAGCTACTACTAATATATTTCATGTATTTAGTTTTAGATCTACTCAAACGAAAGTCTTTGCCTTTAGACTCCGTTGTAGACCTCCATAATTCAATTTTTTTTTTGAACTTTTTCGTAGTCTTATCCACAAGAAGGATATCATTAGCGACATATACCAAGGTACATCCTCTTGTAAATTTTTTTGTAAGTGATTCCAAAACAATAAGAATTTTGCATAGTTTTAAGGGTTGCTGGGGGATGGTGGGAATTTTAGAATTGGTGGAAGCCTATGGAAAAGTTTAATTAGTGTATAATTTCAGATTTTTTTTGATAGGAAATGGTAAGGACCTCCATAACCCTTATTAAAGGTTTGGGATGTTATAGCTAATCATTGCTGATGATTTTAGGTTAATTGGGTGTTTGGTTAAAAAGTAATGAATCATCTGTGGATTGATTACAATAGTGGACTATTGGAGTTAGGGTTTTATTAAAGGTGTATGACTCAATTTTTGTGAGGGTTGAGAAGTGCTTTAAGGTATTGAATCGTGGTGGGGATGTAGGAGAAGCGAGAATGGAAAAAAAAAATATTAGGGTTTGTAAGTCATAGTGTTGGTTTATTGATAAATCAATTTAAAAGTTAGTAGCACAAAACTCTCTTAGACTTGAGTTTTCGGAAAGTTGGAAGCTATTTTTCATTTAATTAATATGGGTATAAGTACTATATGAAATGCTGTAAAAGAGAAACTTATAAAAAAATTTATAAAAATCGCTTATTGAAAAGTAGTTAATAGGCCCTCAAGACAACGCGTTAAAATCTCTTCTCAATTGAAAATAATGGCATTTCAAGTTGAATTATTCAATTAAATATTTGATTGTTTCTCTTGAATATTTAATTTGAATAGATTGATGTTATTCTATTGAAATCATATAAATTTGGCCTCCTTATTTCTCAATCAAAATAAAATAAAATAAAAGCATAATTTAATTAACTATCATGGTAATTGTCCTTTGAAATTGATCTAGCGAGCATCTATCTTAATTTAATATAAATTATTGTAAATCGACGGTTGTCATTCCCAAATTCCTGAATAAAGCATAGATGATGGTAGTCAATCAAAGTGGATGCTCACAAAATTAAGATGTTTCTTTTTTTGATTCTGAAGCAGTAGATTGGTTTTCATGCGAAATTGGTGGCTAGTCATCAAGAGTGGTATATATTAGCAGCATGAAGCTAATTTCTTAAATAATCTATTGTTGAATCTTAGTTGATTTACCATCTAGTGATGGCGAATTCCCCTAGGGTTTTTTTGAACTGGTATTATTTTTGGTTTTCTATATTTTGCCTTTTTTTTATTTGTTTATTTTTTTAAAATAAAAATGCTCGGTATGTTAAAATAAAAAAGTTTTGTTCTTATTTTGTATTGATGATGACTGGCAGTGGTGGCGACCGATTGTGGTAGCAGTGTTTTTTTTTTAATATTCAGACTTTCAAAAAGTTGTTTTGATTGTTTTTAAAAGCAATAAGTTAAATCACAAAAATTACAAAAAACAAAATAAAGATAAAAATAGAAAACAAAAAGCAAAAAAAGATCTCAAATGGGCCTTAAGCATATATAAGTTTATTGTTGTATTTTTTTGCTCAAGTAGTCATTATTATTTTCTTATTAATCTACTCTAGAAACTACAATCTCATTGTGTGTTTATCATTAATTTATCTTTGCAAGATAACCTAATCATAATATCTGGCAACCCTGATTGTAATATATGGATTCTATTTATCTGGATATTTAATTAATTTTTTTATTTATTCTTTCTAGGCTAGAGATGCTTATTTGATTGGCAACAAAGCTCTAGCAAAGGAACTTGGTGATAAGGGAAAGTGGTACAACTTGCAAATGAAAGAAGCTCATGCAAAGGCTAGGGAGACAATATATCGGCAAAGGTTGGTTATCCATTGCTTTGACTTGCATGCTAAATATGTAGTATGACATCTACAAATGAACCGTTTAGTTTTTAATGTAAGAAGAAATGTCATTCCAATTTGCCTTTCATTTTGTTATCTTTTATTCTTAGCAAAGCTTGTATCGTCATCATAGGAGGTGTTCAACCATCTTTTGTAATCAATTTGCAAATTTATTTTGTTATATATATATATTTATTTATTTTGTGAAGTTGCTCTCAGTTTGCCCTTTTGTTTTATAATTAATATTTCAAAATTTGTCATCTGCCTTTGTTACTGTTTTTTTTTTTGCCTTTCATTGTGCATGCCACTGCAAATTAAGTTTATTTTTCAATATCTCAGACTCAATGGATGTTGCTTTTTTTCTACCTTTTGTATAATATTTTCTCAACCTATTTTTTATTGATTTGATTAGAGAGAGTCGTTTTAGATGGTTTGGTCACGTTAAACGCGACCATGTTAAACGTCGACCATCTCATGATCTGATTAGGAGAGTAGATGTTTTAGATTCAACTTATGTTAAGAAAGACAGAGGTAGACCTAGGAAGACTTGGGCTTATTCTATAAAAAAATGTTCTTAGTTTATTAGAATTAAATGAAAATATGACACTAAATAGGACGCAATGGAGAAAAAGGAGTCATGTAGCCAACCCCACTTGGTGGGATTAAGGCTTTGTTGTTGTTGTTGTTGTGTTATATATCTAAATGTTTTTATTTTTGTTTAACAAAGCATCTCTATGGATATTTAACATGAACTTTTGTTACTGCAACTGTTATACCCATTTTGATAAAAAATATACCTTTTATGCTATTCACATTTAGCTAAGAAAATATGCTCTTGCAAGTTGCTTCATCAGGCACTGGGTACTAAAGTACTAGTTGGAACGGCTTTATGAATCTTGATGTTCTATTTGTTTCTGTTGAGTTTTATGTGTAGTTGGTAAACCTATTTTGTCCACAAATCTCATCTTTTTTAAATGTTGTATAATATAGTTAAGAAGAAAGTTATCTTCAGCCAAGTTTAACTTGTCAGAATGTAACGGCCTTTTTAACCTGCTAAATGTCCTCAAGTCTATGGTATCTATTGTTTTCAGGAATCCCGTGTCTTCCGAGGCCTACAGTCGAGGGCAAGAACGCATGATCGACCTTCACGGTCTTCACATGAGCGAAGCGATACATGTTCTAAAGCACGAGCTGGCCAATCTGAGAAATGCGGCGAGGCTGAGCGGCCATCGCCTGCAAGTCTTGATATGTGTGGGAACGGGTCACCACACCAAGGGGACGAGAACTCCCGCAAGGCTTCCTATAGCCGTTGAGCAATATCTAGCGGAGGAAGGAATTCATTACACCCAGCCACAACCAGGCCTGCTTCGTGTTGTAATTTATTGAGAGGTACATACACTTTGATGAAATTGCTTTAAAGAAAGCCAAAAAAAAAAAAAA